GTTTTAATGTAGCACTGCACCGCCCATATGCTCCTAGTCGCCTATGGGGAAGGAGAAGGCATAGTACGCAGTATGACAGTACCAGATGAGGCTTTGAGTAGGCAATGACTTTTTTTGTATATGAGCACATGCAGTACCAGATGCACCTCACATCCCTTCGGGAATTCGTACTACTAATATGATACCGCATCTGTTCGCACGCTGGAGGAGTACGAACTGTTTAAAACATTGCTTGTAATGATGGCGATTGCGCTCTAGCGGGCAAAACTATGCTAGATGCATCTTACAGTGCTCATATAACATGGAGCATTGGCCTGCATAAATGCCCTTCCCCTTTAAAAATTAGGAGCAACTGAGCGGTGCAACACATGTGAAATCAGGTCTTGCAGAAGTCATTCGCTATTAAACCAATTAAGCAGTGAATCAAACTTAAACAACATCGCCGTTGTCAGTTTAAGCCACGATGAGAAAGCAGGATGGTCGGAAACCGTGCGGAAATCTCCGTACAACTTAGCCACCAGCCCCACCCCCACCCACAGAATTGCCGTCATCGAATTTTATACTGGCTCGGTCACTGCCCCGGTTACCAAGGGTAATGCAGCTTACTGGGGCACTAAGGCAGGCTGCCAAATTTCGTGATCGCCTTTGCGCGAAACCTTTCATCGCCTACTGGCAGAACGGAGCATAACGGCACAACAACGTCAGCTGCAGATGGACGAAACGACAATCACCAGCGAATTCGGTGCCCGTTATTAACGGAAGAAGCAGAAAGTGCGAAGCCATTATAGCACGACCGATAAGGTTCCACCGGAACGATACTGACAGATGGGAACTAACAGTCTGAAATCGGAACATCCTCATTCAGAAGCAGAGCAGGATCCAGTTAATGATGTCAGAAGGTAACAACTCCACACATTTGGACTCACGTCAAAGAAAATCCAATGCTTCAGAATTCTGAACCTCTGTCAGTGGAAGTTATTTTACTCAGACACTAACATCAGCACTCATGCGCAGTTTGGTATTACTGTTTTGGTAGAACTGACTGACAAAATCACTGAATCGAAGCCTGCCAGCGGAACAGCGGTAATCCGACGACTGAAGATATAACAAGTTCAACTGTTGAGCATCTTACAGGTCAATGAATCCAGCATATGGGGAATAAGAGTCCTTCCTTAAGGAAATGAAGTGTGCTCTGCAAGAAGTGACGACAACTGAGGCACTCGTTCTAATCAGCAATTTTAATGGGCAAGTCGGGGTAGACACTGAAATGTGAAAAGGCGTGATTGGAAAGAACGGCCCTAGCGACCTCAAAAATAACACCTTGAGATTATTGCCGTTTCGTGAAACAACGGACTGTCTATTATCAACACCTTCCTCCAGCATCCGGGCGTATATCAGTATAACTGGTACAAGGAAGACTGTGCAAAAAGTCCATGATTTATATGATAATCACATAGTCTGATTTATCACGCTCCGTAACAGATTTTCGCGTTAACAGAGGCGTGCCTTGTTCCTGCTACGCTGTAAGAAATGTAGTATTATGCGATGATCTGATATGGCAGAAGCGACCAGTTAATCAAATGGAAAGCATTATCTTCGGTGGATACGAAAGAGAAATTTGCAAAAGGACATGGCACGACGGTTTGAACAGATCCTAATGATGACAGTTAAGCGGAAAGCGAGTTGCAGCTCTTTAAGAGCGTCATACTCGAGGCGGCCGCCGAATGCTGCGGATTTAAACGGGTTGACCTGCCGCCTGCAGGTCAGAAAAGATCTTCATGGTGGACACGAGAGGTACAGCTGGCAGTTAG